GCATGTTCTGTTCATTTTTCTACAATTTTTTCCCCTCTCATTTCTTCAGATTGGGTTCCATTGATCTCTTTTCGAGTTCACTAACTCACTCTTCTGCTATCTCTGCTCTGCTCAGCTGTTAAGTATAGTTAGTGAAATTTCCATTTTATTGTACTTTTCAGGTCCAGAATTTCATGTGTGTTTTTTTTTTATGGTTTGTCCTCCTCTATTGAGATTTCTATATGTTCCTTTAGGTTCTTGACATACTAAAAAGTAGCTGCTTTATCTGTACCCCCTGGATTATCTTGGCTTGGTTATAATTGACTCCACTTTTTTTTTTTTTTCTTGGATATGGGTAATAGCCATTTCTTCCCATAGCTCATGGTCTTTATTGGTCCTGAAAATCATGAATGCTATGTTGTAGAATTTCTGGATTCTGCTATGTTCTCCCTACTAGCATTTATCTTGGCTGGATGGACTCAAACCCTGCCCCTCATGCAAATATATCTTTTTCAGCAGCAGCTGAAATCTCTTAGTTTGCTCATCTTTGAGCTGCTGGTGTTTCTCCAAATCCCTTGTTGTCTTCCCCACACAAGTGTTGTTTAGTCAGATGGCCAAAGATTTGGATGGACTCTAGGTGGATCTGGGGGCTTGTTCCCTCTGTGGCTCTCTGTCTTCCAGGATTTCCCCCTAATATTCTGAACTCCTCTCACACTTCAAGACAACCAGACTGCTGCTTTCTGCCACCTAAGCATTCGTGGACTGGAACATGCCCCTGGCAAAAATTCAAATCACCGGTCTGACTGTGGCAGCAGTCTTTCAAGGGTGGACTCCCTGGCAGTGTCTGTCTGCTTTGGTCACCTCCCCCCTCGCAGTGTCTTTAAATAGGAGTGAGTGTGTGTGTGTGTGTGTGTGTGTGTTGTGTTTTAATATTTTGCCCAGATTTTTTATCTGTTATCTGCAGGAGGCTTAGTCCAACCAATCTGCTCCACCGTTACTGGAAGCCAGTGCCGTTACATGCCTTTGAATAAACAATTTTTAAAAAATCTTAACTTTGATGTATTAAGAACTCTTGACCAATGGGCCCAAATTTTAAAAATTCAGAAAACAAAATTCAGGAAACTGGATCAGCTTATATGCAATGTATGACCTTGGTTATCTTAGATGGGTAGGGAAGGATTTCCTCCCTCTGCAGACAGGCATATTGTGTGTCAGCATATTGGAGCAGCCAGGCTGGCCCACATGGTATCTGTCTGATGCTACCATTAAGGGATGTGTTCAGGGGGAGTAGAACAGTTAGTCTCAAAAGGTCATTACATTTCCCAGAATAGTCTATACACCCTTAAAATAACCAGGTAGATTGTAAATGTTCTGAAACTTTACACAGACTCTCACTATCTGAGACACTATATATAGTTTTGTATAATTCGGCATGGGCCATAATACTAAGGAGACACTAAGGTATTTATTCATTTGGTAAATATTTGTCAACTGCCTGGGTCATGCAGGACACTGAAGCACTACCCGGAAGCCATCTCATGGGATGCTTTTGTCCCAACCATGCTCCTCATAACATGGAGCCCTACATGAGTTTTCTGGGGCCACCATTCAAAGTACCACAGGCCAGGTGGCTTGAAACGACTGAAATTTGGCCTCTCACAGTTTGGAGACCAGAAGGTGTCAGCGGGCTGTGCTCCCTCCAGGGAGGGATCCTTCTCACCTCCTCTGATTTCTGGTGGCCCCAGCCATCCTTGGCTTCCTTGGAGTGTCACTGCATCCCTCCTTCTCCGCCTCCATCACCATGTGGTCTTCCTCCCCACGTGTCCTCTTCTGTCTGTTACAAGAACACTGTCCTTGGATTTAGTGCTCACCCCACTCCACTATGACCTCACCTTGATCCTTACCTTGATTATACCTGCAAAGACACTATTTCCAGATAAGGTCACATTCAGAGATTCTGAGTGGTCGTGAGTTTTGGGAGTCCCTGTTCAACCCACTACCACTTCCCAGAGGGATTTGTCCCTGCTGCCCAAACTCCTGTTTAAGTTTTAAGGGCTATACTTGGCTTCTGAGGATTTGGCGACTTTGTTTTATTTTTTTTTAAGATTTATCTTATTTATTTGACAGAGATAGAGCATAAGCAGGGGGAACGGCAGAGGGCGAGGGAGAAGCAGTCTCCCCACTGAGCAGGGAGCCCAATGCAGGGCTCGATCCCAGGACCCTGGGATCATGACCTGAGCGACGGCAGATGCTTAACCGACTGAGCCACGCAGGTACCCCTGTTGGTGACTTTATAAACTTCAGGAGCACTGTTGCTATTTAAGACTAGCTGATATTTCCATTTGTCTTTAAACGCTGGCAGCTTTGTCCTTCAATTTGGGTTGTCCCTTGTGGTCCCTCTGGTTCTGACATGTTGGTGAGATGTGGCCACAGGAACTCCCCACTGGATTCAGGCCTGTGGACCTCAAGGTTTTGAATCCAGACTGTGTCCTTTTTCTACCCATCTTCCACAATCACGTCACTTCATCAAACCTAAATTATATGAACCAAGGACTGGCAACAATGGTCTGCAGGCCAAACCTGGCCTGTCACCTTTTTTTTTTGTAAATGAAGTCTTACTAGAACACAGGATCACTCGTGTGTGTGTGTGTGTGTGTGTGTGTGTGCGCGCGCGCGTGTGTGTGAGCAATGGCTACTTTTATGCCAGGACAGCAAAGTCTAGAAGTTGTAACAGGACCAGATGTGCCCAAAAGTCTCTGATCCTTTGCAGGAAAAGTTTGGTGACTCTTGGCCTAGACACTGTATGCTAAACAGTGTGACAAACAGCACGTGGTATACAGAGTGTTAAACTAGGAAACATATTAGTGTGAAAACTTGGCACGATCTTGAATAACTTGAATTCTGGAAATTGCTCTCTGGCCACAGTGAGCTGAGCGTGGGCTTACCCTTAGCCTCACACTCACGGGCTCCCCTGGTTTTAATGACTTAGACTCTGGAGCACAGTTATTTCTGCCTGTGAACAAGGAGCCGGGCTCTGAGTCAGCTTTCCCGCTCTGTCTCTAGTGGGTTCTCTCCACCAAGTCCAGTGATCTCCTCCCACTACCCACTTCCTGGCTTCAGAGTGGAACAAAGTGGTGTGTGGGGTGCAGGTGACTGGCTCAAACGTTGGGGAAAACTGTAAATAAGACCTCAATTAAGCAACTCCCTACAAAATCATTCCAAAGGTCAATTCTGTCCAGAAAGCAGAGAGTTGGGAGACCCAGGAATACACTTGAGAAATTCTTCATCTCCTCCTTCTCTGAAAGCCAGGAAGAAAGTAGGGGACTGCCAGTCACCACGCGACTCTGGGGACATCTAGTGGCGAGGACTGAGTCATGGAAACAGGAAACCGCCACAGGTACAGGCCCCATGGCCATGGATCCATCCAGTGGCTCTCCAGGTACCAAAGACTCTGGGAGGGGAAACGGGCCAAGTCCTAGAATGTTCCTCATCAATGAAGATGGGGTTAAGCCAACACTCACATATTTAAACACCCACACACGGCTTTCTGCTTTCTTGACTTGTTCTTAGAGGTGGGAACTCTTGTGGTGCAAGGAAAGCCGATGGAAAATTCTGGCCGCCGGCTTGGGCACCGCAGCGCGCACTGTGCTGCTCAGGCCTCTCCATGAGGCAGAAGTGGGGAGACCCCACTTGACAGCTGGGGAGGGCGTACTGCGCAGGACGGGGGTGCACCTGCCCACTAAGCCACTCCCTCTCTCCAGTTTGCATATTTAACAGCTTCTCAAGGACCGAAAGCAGCCAGTTCTTAAGAAGTGAAGACTGTTGGACCTTGAGCATTTTCATGGAATGGTCTTTATTTGTATCATCTGTCACATTGTTCTGGTATGAAATGAATCTTTTGGGGGACGCCTGGGTGGCTCAGTCAGTGAAGCGTCTGCCTTTGGCTCAGGCCATGATCTCAGGGTCCTGGGATCGATCCCGGCATCGCTCTCTGCTCCGTGGGGAGCCTGCTTCTCCCTCTCCCTCTGCTGCTCCCCCCACCTGTGCGTGCACGCTGTCAAATAAAATCTTAGGGGAAAAATGAAATGAGTCTTTTGGTATAGAATTTTTAAACTACCTATTTGTGAGACGTATGCATCTGGCTGTAAAGAAATAAGCTTTTATGCTTTCTTGTGGGTAAGGATCTCCAGGAACACTTGGGACACCTGGGTGGCTCAGTTAAGCATCTGCCTTTGGCCTCAGGTCATGATCCCAGGGTCCTGGGATTAAGTTCCATGTCAGGCCCTTTGCTCAGTGGGGAGTTTGCTTCTCCCACTGCCCCTCCTCCCACTCATGCTCACTCTTTCTCTCTAATAAATAAATGAAATCTTAAAAAAAAAAAAAAGGATCTCCAGGAACAGAAGGCAGGACTTCTATCCAAGCTCAAGATAAAATGCTTCTTTACCCCCACTTTGTGTCACCTTTTTCCTCCCTTGGACAATATCTACAGATGTTTTGGGTTGTCCTGACGGGGTGGGGTGGGGAGAGAGGTGCTGCTGCTGGCATCTAATGAGTGGAGGTCAGGGATGCCGAGGTCCGCCCAACAGACGACCCGACCCTGGCGTCCCCAGTGCTGAGGGGGAGACACTGGGTCCCCAGATGGCAAACATCCCTCAAGAGCTTGCGATTAGCTGGATAAATGAGTAAACAACGGTATGAGGGCTGGAAAGCAGCTCAGGCCGGATCAGACCGGCAAGGGGAGAAGCAGTGAGCTGCTCCAGCCTGCCACTGAGGAAGGCCCGCAGAGCTGAATTCTGGTTTCATATTGGGAAAAACACTTCCTGCCCCCCCATCACTCTGTGAGCACGTGGGCCCCCCGGATCCCTGCCTTCCTTCCCGGGTACAGCCAGCATCCTTCCTTGCATTTGGATTTTGAGGCCTAGACAGTAACCCCTTGCCGAGCTTGTCCGCGTCTGACGTTGCCTCCTGGGGCTTCCGGATGGCAACCCCGCTCCACTCAACCTCTCTCCGCCTTTCTTTAGAACTGAGCATGCAGAACTCAGAGGGTGGATCCGATTCGCCGGCTTCTGTGGCTCTGTGTCCGTCGGCAGCAGCCCAGGCTCCCGTGGCCCGGCCTGTGCCAGCCTCCCCGCAGGTAACAGACCAGCCCCTGCTGCTCGGGGCTCGAGCTGTTCTGGGAAAACCAGTGTGGCCGGGGCGGGGGGCACGCATCCTCCTAGGTTTTGAAAAACACCCGAGTCAGCAGAGAGAGGAATCTGTATTTTCCCAAATTAACATCTGGGTCCCAAGGCGGCTGCTGCTGAAACAGCCACACCGTTTGCTCTGTGCCCACTGCCCCAGCATGTCCCCATTATCCGGCTTTTTTGCTGTTGAAAACGTCCCACCAAGGACTCAAGGATACAAACACCAAAAGAAACCAGCTGAGCCTATTTCTGTCTTTTAAGGGAAGTTTTCTCACACTTGGGAAATACCCGTTACCCAGGAAGACTATGGATAAGGCACAAAATGGGTTAGAATGCTAGCGTTAGAATGGATGTAGTCTTTAAAATTTGCAAGGAGGGACTTTGCACACGAAGGCCCTTGACTTTTGGCTTTTTGCCACGGATGGAAACACACCGCAGACGTAAACATAAAGTCAGTGACTGGAGACCGCACAAAGCCGAGGGCGGCGGAACAGCCTGGAAGCTCGGAGATGTGTGCAGAGGCCCCCTGTGGCCACGTGACCACCCCCAGTACGATCCCAGGGGTCAGAAGCATGACGGAATTGATGAAAAAGCCGCATAATTCCCCAAGAACAAGAAGACAGGCCGCAGAGTGGTCTGTTCATCTCAGGATGGATAGTCGGACACGTTTAGCTTTTATTTCCTGCCAATACGGCAGCCCCGGCGTGGGCCTCGGAAGCCCATCCGAGGGGGCGCAAGGGGTGTGATCAGATTCAGTTGTAGCCCAACTGACTTGCTGCCCTGCCCACCGCAACCTGACACATCAGCCGTCCGCCCCGGGCCGCCTCGGGTCCTTCCCACCAGGCCCCAGACTCCTGTGGCCCCAGGACCTGGCTGGTGCCAGGGTCCCACCACGGCCACCATGTCCCTCCCCAGTTCCAGGGCTCCCGTCCCTGCTAGAGATGCACCCAGGCCCCCAGCCCCCCACATGCCCTCCCCGCCCCCAGGTGCATCCTCTGCTCCCCAGGCAGAGACTTCCTGCTGCGTATTTGGGGCACCCCCTTTCTAAAGCTTCAAATGCTCATGCCCACTGGCTGCCCTGCCTCCCTCACCAGCGAGAGCCTCTCTCCTTTGCCAGAGAGAGGAGTTCCCGCTGCCTCGGGTCCCCTACGCTCTTCTTGCTTCACCTCCCAGCCCTGCCGCGTCCAGCCCAACTTCCCACCACGGGAAGGTGGTGTGGACAGCTGTCCGGAGGGTCCTCTCAGCCCGGCGCCAGGGACAGCCCACGTCGCCTTGCAGAACAGGCCCCAAGGCAGGAGAGCTGCCGGGGGCAGGTGGAGGCGCGTGCGCTCCTGTGTGCCAGTGAGTGTGTGTGTGTCAGTGGAGTAGGTGGCGGTGCTCTGGTTCTAATCTGTGTTTGTTTTAAGGACTAAACTCTGACAAGTCTAAATGTCCTTCTCTCCTTCCCTTTTAGAGGGTGTTGGTCCAGGCAGCGGGCTCGGCTCCCAAAGGGGCTCAGATGCAGCCAATCTCCCTCCCCAGGGTCCAGCAGGTGCCACAGCAGGTAACCACAGCACAGGTGCCAACGGGGCTCGCTAGCATTTAGCAATCCGGGGCCCTCTCTGAACGTTGCATCCTTTTCTGTTGCTGCTATTCCATGGTCTTTGATATCTTTGGTCCTTTACCAGAAGGTTCTTTAGGAGCTATGTTAAAAAAAGAAAAAAACCTCTTTTACTGCACAGAGTTTGCAATAAGCCAAGAAAGCTGATGGCCTTTCATTTGTTCAGAAATTCAGCATTTGGGGTGCAAGCCAGCACTTCCATAGAGCCCTGGGGTGCTGAGGTGGACACGCAGAGAAGCCACGTGACTGCTGGACTGCAGGAACGTGGACCCTCCTAGGGAGGCCAGTGTCCTGCCCTCAGACCAGTGCACTGACCCAGGAAGTGCTCCTTGTGAAATCAGGTGGTCCGGGACCAGAGCTTCAAAGCCCAGGCTCACCGGCAGCTCAGAGTCCCTGTCATCTAGAGCACCGGAGGGCAGACCTTTCTGGAAAAGGCCAAATAGCACATTTTTCGGCTTAGTGGGCTGGCCGATCCTGACACAACTGCTGAACTCCTGCCACGGTCTCACAGAGGCCGCTGTAGGTGTACGCGAAGGGGCGTGGCTGTGTGCCAGTAAAACTTTATTTACAAAAAGGAGGCCGGCCAGGTTTGGCCCGAGGGCTGGAGTTTGCTGACTTGTGCTCTGTAACCTACTGAGTCGAAGTGAGTGCAGCCTTTTGCCTAAAAGGACCCTGAGCATAATTACGGTGCAGCTGAGACCAGAAGGCACACGTCTCCCCAAGGGGCCCCGCTTAGGTTGCTGGTGTGTTTAGAGGCCCTTGTCTGGTGGCAACTGGGGCCGCCTTCAGGGTCATGGGCAGGAAGCAAAGGCTCCTGGCAGGTCCAGCAGGGAACCAGTGGCTCTGTCTCAGCATCTTGAGGGAGACACGCCCAGTGTCGTGATTCCAGAAGCTTCCTCTCTGTGGAGCTGGGCCTGCCCCAGCCTTCCTCTCTGGGCAACCTGGACTTGCAGAGTGACTTCTGGGTTTCACCCAGTCCCCCCAGGCACAGCCCACCCCCAGCACATTAATCCCTGGAACCTTCTCGAGGCACGCTTGTTATTCTAGGGGCTTGTGTGTGTGTGCACCGTGTTGGGTTGTCCTGGGAGGTGGGAATCAGCCCCATCCTGCCACTCCCTGAAGAGGCTTTAGAGAGAGGTCACAATGAAATCAGCCCCTGATTTTCTCACCCCCAAAGGAGGTTGGGTTAGGCACCACCAGGGCCAGCGTCCCTGGCTGCTGAGGTGCTGAACTGACGTTGACACAGGTGAAGGCAGGGGCGTGGCGGGCGGGGCTGGGGGCGTCCGGGTGCCCATCTCCCATCTCCCACTCCAGGCACCCCGCTCCCTCCATTCTGCTCAGACTGAAGGTCTCCCCCGTGTGGCTCCCAGGACCCCTCCCCCCCCGCCTGGGAGGGCTGCCAGAGGCACCCAGAGGGGACGTCAGGGACGCCACGTAGGGTATCAAGAGCTTGAGCCCTCTGCCCCGTGGGGTTGAGGGGTGTCTGACCCCCCCCCACCATGGTCACGTTCCGTCCACAGCTCTGGCTTCTTCTACTGTCCAGTGGGACCCACCCCTGGCGGGCAGGAGGGACTGACCATCCCAGCTCCGCTCTGCAGCTTTGCTCTGAGCTTCCAGCTGGGTTCCTCCCCCTACCCCAGAAGGGGGCCCCGCCTCCGCACCCCCACCCCCACCCCACACTCCCCGGCAGAAACAACTGCCATACACAGAAAATGCATCAGATTGGTAGCAGTTCAATTCCTGTGGGGCCTGTTGGTGACCATTTCTGGTAGTTTTTTGGTAGAAGTGACAACTGTGGTGGGAAATCTGAAATGTAGGAGTAAGTGTTCACCAAAGGCAAGAGGAGACGCGCCCAGCGCACGCCACCAGGAGATCACCATGTGTGACACCAGGTATCTGATGTTGTTTCAGGTCCAGTCCGTGCAACACGTGTACCCCCCGCAGGTGCAGTACGTGGAAGGCGGAGACGCCGTCTACACGAATGGAGCCTTGTACGTGGGTTTCCCCTCCCCTCGGAAGGGCCCTCCTGGCGGGCATGCGTGGGCCTTGTCCAGAACCTTCCCCCAGGACTCCCCCCTCCACCACCTTTCCCACTTGGGGCTCTGTGTGCAGAAGCTCCTCCTCCTCCTCTGGGTGGTGTTGGAACTGTCACAACAGTCCCAGGACTTCAGAGCCCTGTGGAGGATTTCAGAAATCTCCAGGCCGTTATAGATCTCACTCCTGGAAAAGGCAGCCTTTCAACAACACACAACGAAACAAAACCCCAATCCGGCTGTTAAGTCTGAAGATTCAGTCTTCACAATCCAGAAACCATTTCTCTCTCTGCCTTCTCATCCTTGCCTGTGTTCACCTCTGGCTCTTTATGATGTTGATAAAACTTGATTTTCCGTTTGTCAAGGACTTCTAGAGTGTTCTGCCTTCGAACTCTCTGGTGCTTGGGGCACAAAATGATACATTTCCCATAAAGCTCATTGTGCTCAAGACACGAGCCCTTTGGTTTGTTTGATTTCCACGACCTCCTTCCAGAAGTTCAGGGATCGCGTGTGAGGGGGGCCGTTGTGCCCGCCGGAGCTGTGCGAGTTTCTGCAGCGCAGCACCTAAGCACACTGTGCACACGCAGACGCACGACAGGGCCCGAACAGCCCGGGAAATTGGAGCAAGGTCTGTAGGTCGCCCCACTGCTAACTTCTCAGACTTGATCCTGTGCTACAGTTAGGTAGGCTGTCACCCAGGGAGGCGAGACAGGGGTGCAGGCCTCCTGGAGGCTGGTTAGAGAGGCCTCGTGCCACCCAGAGGGACCAGCCCTTGAGACACACCCCTAAGCTCCAGGCACTGCCTTTGACTGGGACCAGCTCTCCACGAGGCAACAGAACCTAAAAATCTGAGTCTCAGAGCACAGGGTTAGTCATTTAATCCAAACGGTGAAGGAACATCAGAAAATTCTTGGTATCGCTCAGAAGTTCTTTTTATTACACAATTTCATTTTGCAAAAACTTTGTTTTGAGAGAATCACGGGCCCTCGGGAAGTTGCGGACTTGGTGCCGAGTCATGTGTGCCCTTTACCCCGCCTCCCCCAGGGGTGACCTCTTCTGTGACTGTAGCACAGGGGGTTGACACTGGGATGCACTGTCAGCCTCATTCACAGGTACCAGCCTGCACGCATTCCTGTGCGTGCGCGTGCGTGTGCGTGTGCGTGTGTGTGGTCCAGGCCACTTTACCCTGTGTGCAGGTTGTGTGTAACCACAGTAAGACACAGAATCGTTCCATCTCCACAAAGGAGCTCCCTCATGCAACCCGTTTACACACTTAGAATTCTTCAGCAGTAGTTTCGATGAGTCATCCTGTGATCCTTAATATTTCCAGAAGTGCTCACTTTGACCTTTGCACTGCCCTGACACTTCATGTCTGAATCACCCCATGCGTTCGGTCTCAAGGAGATCCAGCTTTGATTGTGAAGTCATGCTGGATTCCCGGGAGACTCAGAGGAGGCCCTTCTCTCTTCCCGACAGACGGACGGCCTATGCCTACAACCCCGAGCCTCAGATGTACGCCCCCAGCAGCGCAGCTTCTTACTTCGAGGCCCCAGACGGCACCCAGGTGACCGTGGCAGGCTCCTCCCCGCCGGCGGTCCCCTCCCACAGCATGGTGGGCATCACCATGGATGTTGGGGGGAGCCCCATTGTCTCCAGCGCGGGAGCCTATCTCATCCACGGGGGGATGGACAGCACCAGACACTCCCTGGCCCACACTTCCCGGTCATCGCCAGCTACGGTATGTACGAGGCTCTCGGGGGCAGCAGGGTAGACCCTGAATAGACCCTCCTCAGCGGCAGGGATGGTGAGTGGAAGGCAGCCTGGGGTACTGGAGCCGGAGCCCTGCCACCCGGAGGGGCGTGTGATCTGAGGCAAGTGTCCACCCCTGGGGACCAGGTACTCTGGTAAACAGAGGGCAGAAGGCCCCTCCCGGGCTGCCGTGGAAGTCGTGTCTGAGTCCTGAGTCCAGCAAGGCCACCATTGGTGTCGCTGTCACAGACGCCCAGGCCCGTCCATCCATGTGACCACTGCCTCTGCCTTGGGAACTGCACCACTTACCGCCCCCACGCTCCTGCCCCAGACAGTTCGTGGCCCACTTTATAAATGCGTCTGCTCTTAAAGTCTATTTTCCATGCTTACCTTTACTTCATTTGGAAAATTAACACAGAGTAAAATTGACCGACTTTGGCGTGCAGCCCTGAGTTTTGACGCAACAACCTCGTGTCACTGTTGCCACGGTCAGGGTGCAGAGTGTCTCCTCACCCTAAAATCTCCCTCCTCCCACGGCCCACAGTCCCTGGCAAATGCTGATTGGTCGCCTGTCACTCTAGTTTTGTCTTTTCAGGAGTGTCGTATAAACAGAACATACAGTAGGTAACCTCCTGAGGCCGCCCCTTTCACTCACTCTATGCCCTTGAGACCCTTTCAAGTTGTCACACAAATCAGGACTCACTTCTTCTTTGCTACTGGGTAGGACTCTGTTACACCATGGCTCATTCATCCATTCACCATTTGAGGGCCATTTGGGCAGTTTCCAGTTTTTGCTGATTATGAATAAAAAGCCTCTGTAAGTATTCACGTACGGCTTTTTGTATGGACACATGTTTTCCTTTCTTTTGGATAAATACCTACAAACGGGATTGCTGGTTCCCACGGTAAGTGTATGTTTAACGTTATTGGAAACCACCAACAGTTTTCTCAAGTGGTTGTACCATTTTGTGTTACCCCCCACCGCCAAATGACGTATGAGTCCCTATGCTCCACCTCGTCACCAGCACTTGGTGTTGTCGACCATTCTTCATTTTCGTCGTTCTGATAGGCGTGTAGTGGTATCTCACTGTGATTGTGATTTGCATTTTCTCAGTTGCCAAGGATGGTAAGCAGCTTTCCATGTGCTTGCTTGCCTCTTGTTATATGCTCTTTGGTGACCTATCAGTTCAAGACATTTGCTTATTTTTTAACTGGATTGTTTGTTTTCTTACTGTTGAGTTTTGAGAGTTCTCTACATATCCTGGATACACATCCCCTGTCAGATGCGTGGTTTGCAAGTATGTTCTCCCAGTCTTTAGAGTGTCTTTTCACTCAAAGCTGTGTCGAGTGTCTTTTCACTCAAAGCTGTGTCGAGTGTTTCCTCTCATTTCACCATTGTGTGGGCTATTTATATAATTGTAGTTTTTCTTTATAAGTTTTAGGTCATTCTGTCTATGAGATTTTGACTAAGCAGCATTAGACCTATAGATCAATTAGGGGGAGAACTGACATCTTTACTCTATTGGGTCTTCCCATCCATGAACATAGTATGGTTTTTTTTCCTCATTTATTTAGATCTTTGATTTCTGTCATCAGTACTTTGTAGTTTTTAGCATGCAAATTCTATACATATTTTGTTAGATTTATGCCTTAATATTTTATGTTTCTGGAGCTACTATAAATGGTATTGCTTTGTTTTTAAGATTTTATTTTATTTACTCATGAGAGATACAGAGCGTGAGAGAGAGGCAGAGACACAGGCAGAGGCTGAAGCAGGCTCCATGCAGGGAGCCCAAAGTGGGACTCGATCCCGGGTCTCCAGGATCATGCCATGGGCTGCAGGCGGCGCTAAACCGCTGTGCCACCGGGGCTGCCCAATATTGCTTTTTAATTTCAGTTTCCAGCTGTTGATTTTTGGCTGTTGGCCTTGCATCCTGTGGCCTGGCTGAACTCACATGTAAGAGCTGCAAGAGTTTTTTGTTCTTTTTTTTTTTTTTTTTTTTTTTTTTTTTTTGTCTTTTTGCACTAGCTAGGGCTTCCAGTACGGTGTTGAACAGGAGTGGCAAGGGTGGACATCTTTGCTTTGTTCCTAATCTTAGGGGAAAATCTTCAGTCTTTCACCACCAAGTGTGATATTGGCTGTAGATTTTCATAGATGCCCTTTTTCAGGATGAGGAAATTCCCTTCTATCCCTCATTTTCTGCAAGTATTTATCATAAATGAATATTAATTTTTGTCAAATGTTTTTTCTTCAGTGATACAATCATGAGTTTTTTCTTCTGGAGATTGTTAATGTGATGGATTACATTTGTTGAGTATCAGTTAGAAAATAACTTTGTCTTTTGGTGTTGAGTTAATAACCTCCTGAAATAGAAGGTGATGCTCTGGGGGTGCCTGGGTGGCTCAGTCGGTTAAATGTCTGCCTTCAGCTCAGGTCATGATCTCAGGGTCCTGCGAGTCAGGCTCCCTGCTCAGTGGGGAGCCTGCTTCTCCTTCTCCTCCCCACTTGTGTTCTCTCCTGCTATCTCTATCTCTGTCTTTCTCTTTCAAATAAATTAATTAAATCTTAAAAAAAGAGGAAGAAGAAGAAGAAGAAGAAGAAGAAGAAGAAGAAGAAGAAGAAGAAGAAGAAGAAGAAGAAGAAGGTGATGCTCTTGCCCTATCCCTGTTCTTTTCGTGCTGATGTGCTTAGGGGCTACCTGACCTCAGAGAGCACTCCCCTCTGGTCTCACTGTCCGCTATGTCCAGAGTGCTCCCTAGGACCTGGTTCTGTGGGCAGGGTGAAGAGAAGTTACTTTCTTTCCAGAGGCACCTCGCTTCACTCAGTCCCTGCAACCCACCAGGGCCTGGGCAGCCATAGGCATCCACACACGTTCTCCCTTGGAAGACTGGCTGAAATGATGTGAGTTTCGAGCTGGTACTGATGAGAAGACATTCCTCACAGGCCACATGAACTGTCACGGACATGACAGGTTCAATGGTAGCAAATTGCATCAGCGCATAATAGCAGAATATACTAGGATCACAGGCCACAGATTTAGTGAGAAACCACAATGTTCTCTATGGTCCACACTATCCTACTGCAAGCAAATGTGCAGCCCGGACCCCAGGCCACTCGGCTAGAAGAATCATGTTTTTCAATCCACTGGGAATCCATGAACAGGCTGTGTTTGACACCCCTCTCCTTGCAAGCCCCGGGAGTGATCATCTCAGAAGGCAGTCTGATTCCTGACCCTTCCTGCTCTGTTGTTCATCAGCTTGTTTTGGCAGGAGAACATCTCACGCGTATGCAACAGAGATCTGAGGGCCTTTCCAGGAGCCAGGAATCAGAATGGCCTTGGGATTGGAATAGAATTAAAAGAGGGCTCCTGCATCCAACACTTGATGCCGGCCAGCTTTTTCTGTCAGAGTTTTCGGATCTTAAGTTAATTCTGAAAACAGAGCATGAAGACCGCAGGGAATCACCCGTACAGCCTCAATGAGAGATTTCAGACTTTTGATGGCAGACTTTCTTGAGACTTTATTTCATCAGTATTACATAAATCTTAAAACTTAATTGCCCAAATGGAGAGTTTTTAATAAAACCATTTTCTGTTGCACTTTTATTAACCACACAGAGCACAGGTTCTAAACTCAGAGGCTTGGTCTTGCTGTCTCAGCCCAGGATTTGCCCTTTGAGTTGTGTCAAGCGGAGGCTGGGGGCTCTCGGGCTGCACAAGGCAGAGACCCTGCCACCCCGACAGCTGCCCTCGGAGGGCCCCTCCTCCCTCAAGACTCTCCAGCTGCAGGAGGCCATGTGTACAAACAAGTGGTCCCCACGGGCCACACAACAGGAACTGATGAAGACAAATGGTCTAACCAATTCTTACCATAATAAAAATAGAGCATTCCTGCCCATGGGGGGGACATACCATTGCGGTGGCTCATCGGGGCCTCTAGGTCTGGCCTAATGAAGGATAAGCTGACCCAGGGGTCACATTCCCATCTGAGTGGCGTCTTTGTGAACTCTACGTTTCCAGGAAATCGGAGTCCTAGCTCACAGGTAGTGGCAGCTCTGGGTATTCAGATCATGCAGAGGTCAGGATGGTGTCTGCCCTAGCGACTCCACTCAGGATTGCCACACACCAGGTCCATCAGCACGTGCTGCGCCGAAGCCAGAAGGGTGAGAAGCGAAGTCACCTGGGAGAACAGTGGCAGGTGGGTTCTGAGCGCTCTCTGGCTGCGTTCCGCTACCAAAAGAGCTTGTGTCGGCTTTGTGGCACCTGAAGCAGCTTTCAGACATGTCTAGGACTGCACCATCGATTTCGTCCTCCCCCAGATGAAGAAAACCCTCATGTGTCAGGTTTGAGAAGCCAGCGTGTCAGCAGCCCAGCCCCTTGGGACGCTGTGAGTCTTCTTCGAAAATCCTGAGATCTGGTTCCCAGTATTAAAGGTCAGGATAGTTAGGGCCCTGGACTGATGGATTCAAGTTCTACGACATACATCCTGGAGATACGCCACTTGAAATCACAGGAATTTCTTTATTGGTGTCATCAGAAACTCAGCTCCTGCTTCAGCACGCAGGGAGGCATCATGCCCCTGATCCCCGGCCCACGTGGCTTCAGGAAAGCCGAATCTTGTATTTGCTGTCCAGCTCGTCAGCGCTGAGTCAAGGCAGGGGAGACTGTGAATGGACCATCCATGGCTCCCTCCATGTCTTGGCTTCCCACACGTGCCCCTCCAGCGCCACGGCGATCCTTCCAGGTGGCCCACGGGGCTGGCATGTCACCCACACAGGTCACAGTTTACAATGGATCACTAACCACAAAACGTGTCTTCTCTGTAGCCTGTGTTTCCAGTGAAGATGCAAGATATCTAAACTGTCCTATGACCTCACACATGTACCAAGCATTTGCTGGAAGCTTCCTCATCCTCTGCACATCAGAGCAAAAACGTTGTGAGCAAATGCACGTTGTTTGATAAGGGAATTTTGCCAAGAGCATATCTGCT